ATTCACTTCCAGGTTTTGGAAGAGGTTTCATGATGAGTTGGGCACTCGTTTGTATTTTAGCACCGCCTTTCACTTGCAGACGGATGGTCAGAGTGAGCGAACCATCCAGACCCTTGAGGATATGTTGCGGGCATGCGTGCTGGATTTTGGTGGTAGTTAGGATACCTATCTTCCTTTAGCTGAGTTCTCATACGACAACAGCTACCACGCAAGTATTTACTGTCGTCCCTTCAAGATGTTATACGGACGGAGATGCGGGACCCCGATATGTTGGGGAGAGGTTGGCCAGAGGGTCATGGGAAGCACTGAAGTGGTGCTCCAGACGATAGAGAAGATTCAGCAGGTCCGGAGCAGGCTTCAGACTACTCAGAGTCGGCAGAAAAGTTACGCCGACAAGCGCCGTTTTGACTTGGAATTTCAAGTTGGGGATATGGTTCTTCTGAAAGTGTCACCATGGAAAGGCGTCATACGATTCAGAAAGCGGGGTAAGTTAGGCCCAAGGTACATCGGGCCATTCAGGGTTGTAGCTCGGGTGGGCAAGGTGGCGTATAGGTTGGATCTACCAGCCGAACTCAGCCAGATCCACAACACTTTCCACGTCTCTTAGTTGCGGAAGTGTTTGGTGGACGACTCGGTAGTGGTGCCTTTGGAAGATATTCAGGTCGACGATAGTCTAAATTACATCGAGTGGCCTGTGGCAATCCTCGACAGGAAGTCGAAGGATCTGAGGAACAAAAAGGTGGAACTCGTGAAGGTGCATTGGCAGCACCGGAAGGGTTCGGAGTGGACATGGGAGCCGGTGGAAAAGATGATGGAGCACTACCCCGAGCTGTTTCGGGATCGAGCAGCAGACTTCGAGGATGAAGTCTAAGATAAGTGGGGGAGATTTGTAGCACCTGGTCCCCGGTACATACTCCTTGCTATTTATTTTCTTTATATATTGCCTTGGACTCGGCGAGTTGATAGGCCAACTCGCTGAGTAGGAGTGGGTCAAGGTGCGGGAATTGGACTCTAGACTCGACGAGTCGGTCCCCGGACTCGGCGAGTAGGCCCTGGTTGGGCAAAAACCCTAATCCGGGTGTTTTCACCCTATTTAAACACTCTATCTTGGCCTCCTTTGTCCCTAACACTTCCAGAGAGCATTAGAGTGAGACCCTAGCCCCCCTTATTGATCTAAAGAGAGTTTTGGCCTTGTGAAGGAGATTGGAGCTTAGAAGGAGAAAGAGGTGGTTGAAGAGTGCAAGGAAATGAGTAGATCCGAACTCTACGCAGGGAGAAGCTTCTATTCAGGTAGAAAAGTCTCTACCTTGATCTTTAGATCATTAGTTGCCATTTTGTCCCAAATTGGTGGTTTTCAAGCCCTAAAACACCAAGCTCCATGTGTGGTGCTTAATGATCCGAAAGGACTTCTGATCTGGACTTATTGGATGAATTAGTAGCATAAAGTTCTTGTGGTTGAAGTGATTAAGGTCACCATTGAGTCTATGACCTCTTGAAGAGCTTGGTTTTGGCCTTTTTAGCTTATAGGGCCATGCATGCACGTAAAGTTTGCAACTTTACGTGATAAGCATGCTCAAGGGACATGGATCTATGGTTTTGAAGCGTTGCATGTCTCAGATTTGGCCTATATGGGAAATGGGTCATAGGGACTCGGCGAGTCCCAAGGAGGAACTCGGCGAGTTCCATGAAGATGGCCTTAGACTCGGCGAGTTGGATGAACAGCTCGGCGAGTCCTATGAAGATTTCGTGGAACTCGGCGAGTTGTTCTTCAAACTCGGCGAGTCGGGTCACGAGTTAGTTAAATCATCCCAAGTCATGAATGAAGAGTGATTCAGTGAGTGGGAAGAAGGACCGGTTGGGTAGGACCGGGTTACTAGGAAAAGGACTCGGCGAGTCCATGCCATGACTCGGCGAATCTAGTCAAACGGACATTGACTTTGATCAAGGGGTTGACCTTGGGCCAAGGGAGGGTCAATCTTTTGACCTAATGGTATTTATGGGTGTCTAACCTATGTTTATGGTTTATAGCCGGAGGATTTGCGATCCAGCAGTTAGACGCTCAGCAAGCAGATTTCAGTAGCTACTTTCGAGGTGAGTTACCTTCCAGTAGCGGTGGGTCTAAGGCCACAATGCCGGCCCACCAGTAGGAGACGTATGATAGATGATTGTCTTTGTGATATCATCTAGGTTTGCTACTACCTGATATGTTATATGCTAGCATGATATGTTGTATGTGATAGTAGTAAAGTTCGGTTGTTAGGACCGAAGGGTAGTCAGACACCCCAGATACGTCTGACAGTATGTGATGATAGTTTGCATGTTGGCTTGTTATGTTATATGCGATAGAGGTAGTAAGAGGGGACCAGTCCTCGAGTTCGGTTGTTAGGACTGCAGGGTAGTTCAGGCACCCCAGATGTTTCTGATAATATGTTATGATATATGTGATAGTAGCAGTAAGGGGTGAAATAGTCCCCCAAGGTTCGGTCGTTAGGACTGAAGGGTAGTCAGCACCCCAGAATGGCTTGACATGTGTAGTCAGCACCCCAGAACGGCTTGACACGGGTAGGTCGGCACCCTAGAATGGCCGTACCGGGTAGGTCGGGCACCCCAGAAATGCCTGGCAATATGTATGATACGTGATTGTATGGTATGTGGTATGATGGGGGAACTCACCAAGCTTCGTGCTTACAGTTTTCAGTTTTGGTTTCAGGTACCTCTTCTTCGAAGGGGAAGGAGCTCGCGCGGTAGTAGTACATCACACACACGCTCTGTATTCTGCACTATGATATCTTCCTGGGGAATTGTACTGTGTTTTTATTATGATTTTATAAACTGGTTTCCAGACACGCACATCCTTTATGAAATGATATGATCAATGAATGTTTTATTCTAATGTTTTGCTAAGTATGTGTATTTAAAAATGAAATTTTTTGCTCGTATTTTCGGGATGTTACATCTTAGCTTAGTAGTAGCATAGAGGACTCATGGAGTTGATTAACCTTCAGATCTAGCTAGATTTGATTTCCAAGAGCTTAGATCTAGCACCTGTATGGATCCATTTTGCATGAAAGCTCTAGATCTACTATTATAGTGTGCTTTTAACCTTAAAACCTTCATTTGATGTTATTTACACGTAAAGTTGGAAACTTTACGTGTAAATCAAGTCCCAGGAACCCAGATCTATTAATGGCATGGACTAGTTTCAAGCAGAATCGAGTGTATAGTATTTGCATGCATACGACTCGGCGAGTCGTTCTTCTGACTCGGCGAGTCGAGTCACGAGTCCCCTGTGTTTCCTTTTTCAAGTTATGCCGAGTGGAACCAGTGAGTGAGAGGTGGACTCGGTGAGCTAGAGGGTTAGACTCATTCGTGGAAGAACCCGGCGAGTCAATGCCCTAACTCGGCGAGTCCAAGGCCATCTTTATACTTCAAGAACAGACTCGACGAGTTGTTCATACAACTCGGCGAGTCACAGCTAGAATGATCATCTGATGAAGGAGAACTCGACGAGTTGTTCAACTCAGCGAGTCGGATGCAGATTGTCGGAGTGTTAGTAGCGAAGAGGAACTCGCCGAGTTTGCGCCAAAACTCGACGAGTACTAGCGAGTGGAATCAAGGAAGTAAGAGTAAGGACTCAACGAGTTGGCGGCCCAACTCAACGAGTCAGGTCAACTGAATGTTGACTTTGATAGTTAGGTTGACTTGGACCAGGGGTAGGAGAGTCATTTTACCCTCAGTATTATTATTATCAGTATTTGATTGATGGTGCTCATGGATATTGTAGTCGGGGTGAAACCGGAGATGCAACAGACAGATTCCGGAGCAGTCCTTTCAGCAGCTAGGCTATGAGGTGAGTTTCCTTCCAGTAGGAAAGAGTCTAAGGCCACAATGCCGGCCCGTTTAGTTAGTAGTAGTTTCCGGACTTCGGTCCGATGCAATTGTTAGTGTGTTTGATGCCTTCGTGGCTCAGACAGGATTTATGTGTTATGTGTTCTGGGCTACGGCCTGACGTAGTATGCAATATATTAGTTTATGATGATGTGTGTTATGCTAGTTGATATGTGTATATGCTATGCTATGATCAGTTAGTTCCAGACTTCGGTCCGATGCAGTCAGTTCCGGACTTCGGTCCGATGCAGCTAGTTCCGGACATCGGTCCGATGCAGGGGACAAGGTCCCAGTCAGTTCCGGACTACGGTCCGATACAGTTTCCAGGCTTCAGTCTGATGCAGTGGGCAATGCCCAGTACGTGTTTATATGTTATTGTATGGTATGTGGTAGTTTGGGGGAGCTCACTAAGCTTCGTGCTTACAGTTTTAGTTTTGGTTTCAGGTACTTCCGCAAGTAAGGGGAAGAACTCGGGATGATGGCATCGCACACACCACAACTTCAGTCTTTACAAAATAGATTGTTCACGCTGCATTGCACGGGAGAATTTACTAGTTTACATTAATAATCTATTTCTACAAATCAAGGTCCAAACTAGTTTCTATCAAGGTTTTCCAAAAACACCCCACTTTTTAAAAGAAAACTCTTGATTTTGCCTTTGGATCACTCAAAGAAGAAATGCGTTGTTCTTCTCCTTGTGACGCACAGGGCCTTTGGCCTGTATTGAAAGAATTAACTCATACAATATTTACATTCAACTCATGAGAATTTGTATTATTTACTTACAAAAATCAATGTAAAAGTTCCTTCGGTGGCGATATACAGTTTCCTTTTAACCCTTGGAAATGACCAATTATCTAATCTATAAAGTCTAACTCCACCTTAGAACATCTGTAATAGTATGAGCTATGCGTTTTTTTTTTTTTTTCATTTTTTATTCATACAAAATAACTCCTGAAATAAAAAGCCAGGTTTTCAAATCAAAGTTTTTTTAAGTTGTTAGTTAGTTAACAAATTTTTTTATGAGTTTTTCAATAATTACGTGGGTTGCATATTTTTCCCAACCAATAGTAATGAAACAACATACACAAACATCCTATAAAAAGACAGTTGTTAAAACACAAAAAACATACTTTTGTCTTTTGTCATGAATCTAGCTATGAGCACATCACATTCATGATCCCAAAGAAAGTAATACATACACATTACACACTCATTTATACTTCAACTTTTTTCTAATTCAAAGAAAAAAACACACACACACACATACTTAACAACAAACATTTAACAAGCAACAACACCACATTTTAACACATACTTAACAACAAACAAACATTTCTCAACTCGACATACTTTTTTTTTAACTATACATTTTCTTCTCTACCCACCACATTTTAGACAACAATACAAAGTTCTTAAGTCTCTCTCTCTTTCTCTCTTTCATGAAACAAAAACAAAAACAAGTTATTTAAATTCAAGACAATTAAATTATTCTTCTTCCATTCTACTACATGAAGGAATCAAGATAGCCATAGTTATGCCTTTTGTTGAACTGCAACAAGCTTGCATAAGTCCTATCCCATACTCCAATATAAAGTGTCTCATCATCAGGACTCAAAGAAACCCCAGAAATCTCCCCAAAAAAGTCAATCTCTTGCCTTTTTTCATAGTTTAATTCCGTGTTATAAACATGCACAAAATCCGCCGGCTCAGCCACCACCAAAAACTGCCCGTTTGATGAGAACCTCACTGACCGAACTGCCCCCATGTTCCCCTTCAGAACCGAAACCGGACTTGACAGGTTTCGTAGGTCCCACACCCTGCATGTTTTGTCTTGGTTTCCTGTTGCAAATATTCTTCCATTCGGGTGCCATGCGGACGCAAATGAGTAGTCCAGGTGGCCTTCCACCGTGGCAACCGTCTGCCACATCAGATATGTTTATTATTTTTCATCCAAAAACTTTATTATAAAAAAAAATAAAAAAAAAAAAAAGTTCTTGCCTTTCCGTTCATGGAGTCTACTAGTAATCCATCAAGATTATCTCCAACTACTGTTATCAGCTTCCGATCTGGACTTAAAGATGTATGCTGCAATAAAACAATAACAAAGTTAACTATGTAAATGGAATCACTGATTCCGTTGGTTGGATGGAATGGAATGAGTCGTTACATTCCATGATCATGTTTGGTTGGAATGGGAATTAACAAAATAGAAGGGATCACATATGACATATTTACATTCCATCGGGGAAAACAATTTTTTTTTACATTACTATGGAATATGTGATTCCATTCCGTTCCTTTCGTGATTCCATTGTACAAAAACTAGCAAAGAAGCTTACATTGACTGGCCAAGGAAAGCGGAAGTGATTCACAAGCTGAAATCCCTCCATGTCATATTCTCTCACACCACAATCATTATTTGATGCCATAAAATGCATTCCACCACTACAAAATATAAACAAAAATATATTTTTATAAAAAACAAATAGTTAAAAAAAACACAATTATTACCTCAAGGTGTCGTATATCTCAATAGCATTTGTTATAGCATTGTCTTCATAAGTTGTCCTTGTACAAAAACTCACTCCCTGTTTATCCAATCTCTGCATCATTTAATACATTAACATTTCCATGTTAGGATTAAATCAAAAATACTTTTTTTTTTTTTTTTCGTTACTAAAATCATATATTTTTATATAACAAATTACCTTACAAGCAAGCTCTCCTTGAAACCCTCCTGCCACTAAGAAATCATTATTCACTGCAAGTGTACTAATTTGAGTTTGTGTAAAACCTTCCAACAAACTTCCCGCATGTTTCTGTATCCCAAAAAAACAAATATCAGATTTTCAAATCTCAAAAAGATTTAAAATTTATCAAAGAAATTAAAATTCTTGAATTTAGGTCAAAAATGATACAAGACACAATGTGAGAATGTCATTTCTGTCTTTTTGAAACTTCAAGAACATTATGATGAATGAAAATAAAAGTAAATATTAGTACCTCAGTAGGTGCCACGTGTCCAGAAAAGTTTAGAATCTCAGTCAAGTTTTGTGATAATGATGACCAATGCATGATTGAATAGTTAGACATGAGATACACATCATGCTTTGAGGTAGCCCATACCAGGTTCCTTAGCTGTATAACAAAGAAACTTTTAGAATCTTTGAGGGCTTTTTGGTAAATATCAACCCAATATACCTGAAAATGAAGGATTGTAGGTTTCACTGATCTTGTATTATGAAAGAACTCATAGTAGTTACCACCTTTGGACTTCTGTTTGCATTTCTGTATCCAACAACAAAGTTTTTAGAATATGAAGAGTGGAAAAAGAAAGAAAGTAGATATTGTATTTGTAGTACCTTATCAACAGCATCACCAGATAAGGGAATGTTTTCATAGTTTCTGTATTGTTCAAGTCTTGTACGCCTGTAACTCTCTCTTGTTATATTCAATCTTTCCCATGGAATGCCCTGGATATCTTTACCTGATCTTGCTTGAGCAGAGGACGTATCCGTCACCTTTGTAAGCTACTCAAAATTAGAACTTAAAAAGATATGAAATCAAACATAATTACATATACATTTGATGTTAGATTCTGAAATCTGGACTAAAAACACTAAAAGGAATGAAATTTGAGTATTAGAGTTAGACTAACCATTTCATAATCTTCAAGATTTCGATCTTCACCATTGTTTTCCTCTCCATCAACATCATCTGCAAAATCCGACATGTCACCTTCTTCTGCCATGTAGTCAATTTGGTCAACTTCGTTGTGAGGAGGCATCTTGGAAATCACTAGGTATGAATATGATGTTCTTTTGTTTTACAACAATCTACAAAATGGTAGATAGCCAATTAGCCAGAAGAAGATGCAATTAACTTGCTCAAGCAATTCGGAAGCATGATTTGGTAATTTGCAACAAAATCAAACAGATACGATAAACAGTTTGCAAGTAAAGGCACACACGAACAAAGAATGAAACAAAAGAGAGCATCTTTACATTGCGGCATAAAAACAAACAGGTAGTGTGCATGTTAACTTAATGGTTGCAATATCTTCCCAAAAAAGGGAAAAAAGAAGACGAATTAACGGATCACAGTGCGAAATAGTTACATAATTTAATTTAATGTATGCTCAAGAAACCCTACGTACTGAACAAAAGAAACAAAAAAGGAAGAAGACCTAATTCATCAACTAACCGAACAAAAATAGAAAACCCTAGTCGTAAATTACTGAAATTTACGATCTGAAACAATCCCAGAAAGCGAAACCAAGAGGGGCGAGTAAAATTAAAACGGAAGAACTCCAAGAAATGTGTATGTTACTTTCTAAAGGTGGAATTGTAAGATGGGAGAAGGGTTTCGTACGAACGCACCTGATAAGAAAGATCCTTTAATTTCTTCCTTGGTTTCTGCAACAGATGCAGAGGGATCAATCAGCTCAATCTCTCCTCCAGTTGTGTGTAAAAGAAAAGAAAAAGGAAAAGGAAAAGGAAAACCCCCTTCTCTTCAAGTCTATCTCCTCCTCATTAATCCTCCCATCTACTTCTAAAAATCCGATTACATGAATCATTTGTATTTTCTGAATACATCATACAATTACATTTACAATTACAATATAAACTGTTTCTTTACAATTGGAATTGTATAATTTATTAGAATTTGTTTTAATAATCTATAACGTCATTTTTGTATTCTTGTGATGGTAAGTAATTATATTATATTATATCTAATATATTTATTACATTATCAAGTCAAACAATAATTTTTTAAGTTATTCAAATGATTTATTTGGTTTGCTTTCAACTTTACAGTTTCACTAATTGATAAAGTTCCCAAAAACTGATAATTTGTATACTTGCGATGTTTTATAGAAACATTTGAAAAGTTGATGTATGATGAAACAAAGACGAATTAGGTTAAACTTGTGCTAAGAATGTGTATCTAAATGTAACTCTTCCTTAACATAAAATGTTTCTCATGACAAGATACTTCTTTGGGAAAACCCTAGAAACCATTATTACATGTGTTTTAAATCGTTCATCATATGTTATTTCCTATTAGATGCTATGTAAATTAGATGCCATGTAAATGAAATGTAGTTCCGATACACTTTGAAGTATTACCATCTATGTCCTCTTTCACAATCAATATGTTTCGTGTTAAAGAGCCACACATCCCATGTTTAAACATAGACATCGATGCATACCGAATCTCCTTAACCATAGCGCCTAGTGGTTTCAAGTTTCTTGTTACAAGGAATCATATAAGGGTTAGGAGGCAAATGACGGATGCTTTGAAAGAATTATTTCCCTCAATGATGGAACCTTTTAACAAATTTTAGGGAGATTTTAACCCCCTGTACATTCGGATTAGTTAATTTAGAGACAATAAACATTAAAAATGACTTTTTGATAGAAGATTATTTAGAATAAATAATTTTAACCAAAGTATAGTATATGTCACAAGAATTTCGTATATATAAAGAGCGCTGGAATCCAACTTATAACGAAGAAATTATGACCCGTTGAAGTTTTGCGACAAAACCGGCATGGCTCCGTGTATTGTAAAAAGTAAATTTTTGACAAAATACTTTTTAGCCTTAGCATTCTAAACGAAAGTAATAGTATATGTTAAACCGAGAGCGTCCATATAGAAACCTCCAAATCTTACTTCATTTGAGGATATTATGAATTTTTTAAGATTTTGCATAACAGTATACAGTCCGGAAAAAGAATTTTAGATCGATCGATTTTTAGCCGACACAATCTAAACGAGAATTGAAGATCTCATTAATAGGAACTCAACGATATAAAGACAGTCGAAAACGGACGTCGGATGACAAAATTATGAATTTTTAACGAACTTTAACTATCTAAGCCTGTTAAGATATAACTTTAAAAATAAAGTTAAAATTAGCAGACGGAGTCTAAATGAAAGTTGTAGATCTCGTCGATACCCACGCATGGATATAACGAACGTTAAAAACGGAGCTCATATGCGAAAGTAATGAATTTTAGAAGATAATTAATTTTGGGCAAAATATGCGAGTGGCGCGTGGCTCGATCTGGGCCGCACCTTCTTCCCCACGGCTTAGAACGGGATGGTGACATGTGGCATGCAAACACCCAGCATTCAACTCTTGAACTCCCCACGTTCGGCCTTCAAATAACCTATAAATAGAAGGCGCAAATCACTCCATTCTTCACACGTTCTCACCCATTCTTTCCTAAATGCCCCAAACCCTCTAAGCCTTTCCCTATCACCTCCTAGGTGTTAGAAGCGAGTCCCAGAGCGCCAGAAGTCCCTGAGAAGAAGAGCTTTCGGCAGAAGTTTTGCCTGCGCAGAGCCCGGTTCCTCACTAAAACCCTCAGTAAGTGAGTTATGCTTACCATACTTTATGTATAACTTATGTTTAAGTTCATTATCGTTATTATGTACCTATAAACAAGATTTATCATTAATTCAAAGTCGTTATACTGATTAATCTACTTACGGGGATGATGACTAGGTTGTGATTTAGTGAGGTGTTTAAAGTGAGATTTCCAAACAGTATACTTCGTATACCAAACAGACCATACCTCCGATATGATCCTACATGGTTGTTCCTTACTTGATATATCTTGAAATAGACTTTGAGTTAATGAAAAATCTAGATTAATAATTAGTCACAATAAATATTAGACTAAAACTTAGTGATAATGATACTAGGTTTCGTCAAAGGAAAAGACAATTGTTAGAAGCGAAGCGCTGCCCGAATTACGAGTCGTCAATTTAACAAGTGAGTGCATAGTCCCTTTCATGAACATGTTTTTACTACAAGTATTAATAAAAGTATTAAATATATGTTGAAAGTTTATATGTGAAATATATGCTTATTATCTGGAAATATGTGTGATATGTATATTTGATGATATACGTTATGCGAACTAGACATGGTTCTATACATGTTGAGTGATATTTACATGATAATAATAATAATAGAGTTATTATAAATGAGAAGATAAACGTATATTAATACTTAATACTCTGTATAAAATATTACACTAAATTAGGATGGTCTTGCTGAAATAGAGTTAGTATTAAAAGTTGATTATAAGCATTGTAGTCTTGCTTAGTGATGAAATAAGTGATGGGTTTTAAGCAAAACAACAATTCTCATGTGTGCATGCAACCCTAATGCTTTGGATCTAGGTTTTCTCTAATTAAACATGCAAACTTGAACACAAAAAGAGAAACCCTAGGAAATGTATACTATTTTCGAAATTCATATGAAACTAGGGTTAGGTTACATACCTTGATTGTTATATTACAATAACAACGAATTCATTGTAGATCTTGAATCTTGAGAACTTAGTGTTACAAGTGTAACACCTCTAATGACTCACAAACACATAATGCAAGAGAATGATATGAGAGAGGAGGAGGTGAAATTTTTGGTTCTAGCTTCTTTAAAGACTGGCCAAAATTCAAAGCCTCTAGGGTTCTATTTATAGTGCACCAACGATGTTATGGATAACCCTAATCTCAAATATGGTAATTATCCACCTCATTTGATTATCCATATATGATAAGATATTCTAGAAACTCTAGAATAATCTTTCATATACCATTAAAATCCGTCCACCCTTGCCATACGAAGGTCCTGGACCCTTTTATTCAACTATTGAACAACTGCACTTTAGTCCCTGTACTTTTAATTAATTCCTTTAATCCCAAAATTAATTCCAAAGTAATTTATGATTAAATATTAATTAATAATATGATTACTAATTAATATATTATTTCCATAACATATTTATGAATAATCTAATCCAATTTATTAATATAAATTCTTCCTCTTCCTTAATTAATCATCCTGTCTAGTTGCACATGTGAAAGCAACCCAAAAGAACCATGTCACTATCAATTCAAGTACATACCAATTATAGTTATGAGCTTTGACACCTAATCCAACAATCTCCCACTTGGATAAGTCTAATAACTATAATTGCAAGTATGACTTCAAAAACTGATAAGCAATCGTAGCTCCCATCGCTTTTTATCGAACTCCAACCTAGTCAGTCGCATGTCCTAAGATAAGTGATCATATAATATCCCGTTCTGCAAGATATTATGTGAAAAAATGACATGGAAAATAATCATTCTCATTGTCCAACAGTTTGTTTCGCGGTTTCTGATTTTTAATGACAAAAAACTTCATCGAACACAACAATTCAGTCCTGACCGGGCCTTACACATAAGTCGACATCAAATCATCGAGGGGACCAATATATCGCTTTTCCCCCTTAGGGAAAAAGGAACAGATAAACTTTAACTCATATTCTTGTACTATTTACTCATCAAATCATGCACACCAATATATTTTACAACACCAAGTTACTAGTGCGTTTACGCATTATCAATGCACAACCAACTCGTAAACAACAACGTATATATCTCGGTTTAAATATTATACAATATTATCATCTAAGAATTAATCGTGATAAATTTCATGAAGTAATTCACTAAGTATAGGTTTAATCCAACACTTAAATCCCTATTTCAAAAGCACCCATGAATGTTGCACCAAACCATTGCTATGTCTAAACACTTAGACAATCTACAATCCAATTCATGACAGTCTCAATTCACTACGTACTTCCAAAGTATGATCGACTGTGGATATTTTGAATCATCCAATTACTCGGGAAGTAAAACATGCAAAATAAACACAAAGATAAACGATTGACAAAAGATAGTAAACGATACTTATAAATAAATCTTTATTATTTAATTATCAAATGTCAACTACATTATTTGTTACAAGTTTCTAAACAACTATCTTATCACTAAAACTAATATCATCCTTCAGACCAATGATCCTTGCGTGTTGAACATGCTTAATCCTACTAAGATCCTTTGTGAGGGGATCTACATGATTCTCTTCTGATGATACCCTCTTAACAACGAGGCTTCCTTCTTCTACACGATGTCTGATAAGTGATATTTTCTGTCGATATGCCTAGATCTACCATGATCTCTTGGTTCCTTGGTCAAGGCAACAACTCTTTGATTATCACAGAAAATTTCCATCAGCTCCTCAATAGCTGGTACTATTCTAAGATCTCCAATGAAGTTCTTCAACCATATAGCATCCTTCGATGCTTCGTTCGCGGCAATGTACTCTGATTCACAAGTAGAATCAATCAAGGTCTTTTGCTTGGAACTTTTCCAAATTAATGCTCCTCCATTAAGGGAAAAAACCCAGCCTGACTGAGAACGGAAGTTGTCTCTGTCTATCTGAAATTTGGCGTCACTATACCTTGTAACTCTTAAGTCATCTGTAACGCCCATAGACCAGGGCTAGTCAATTTAGAAACAATAAGCATCAAAAATGACTTTTGATAGAGGATTATTTAGGATGAAGAATCCTAACTAAGTTGTAGTATATGTTACAAGGTTTCCGTGCATATAAAGAACGTCAAAATCCGAGTTATAACGAAGAAGTTATGACTTGTTAAAGTTTCGCGACAGAACCGGCACCACGCTAAATGACGTAAAAAGTGAATTTACGTTAGAGTGATATTTAGCCTTAGCGATCTAAACGAGAATCGAAGATCTCGTTGTTAGTAGCGAAACGACGAAAAGTTAGGCAAGAACGGACGTCAGACGAAGAAGTTATGAATTTATAACGAAATTTTCTGTCCCGGCCTATTAAAAATAAATAATAAAAATAAAATTCAAAATTAG